AAAAAAAAAAAAAAAAAAAAAAAAAAAAAAAAAAAAAAAAAAAAAAAAAGCCAAACACGTAAATTCACCGATTCAAGAAAACAAAACAAAAGGAGAACAGCTCAATTCCGCTTCATTGAAAACAGCAATCAATCAAACACAAACTCCACACAAACAATCAACGAAAACAAGAATAAACAAACAACCAGAGAAAAACCAATAGCGGCGCAACAATCAATCAAATCAAACACCATCAGCGCAAAACCGAACAGAGTAAGCAGTAAATGAACCGAAAACAATCAAAATGAAGCGCAAAACAAATAGAACAGTAATAGAAAACGGCGAGAATCCGAGAAGATTGATACCTTTCACGGCGAGACAAGGAAGAAATGAATCGGAATTTCAAACAACAGCGGAGACAGAGAGCGAGAGAGAAACAGAGAGAAAGGAAGTGAGAAAAACGGAACGGAGCCGAAGTGGGGAGAGAAAGCGGGAACGGTGAGAAGAGAGGTTATAAAGGGAATTAAAAAAGAAAGATTTTTCCTTCCAATAATAATAATAATAATAATAAATGAATAAATAAATAAAACTCACAATTGCAATTGCTTTTTAAAAAATTTAATTTCACTGTTTTTTCTTTTTATTTTTCACTTCACATCCATCCCACAACTTTGACTTGACTTTTAGCGGTTTGGCCCATGTGGCTGCCCGAGCTGCTGAAAAACTTTTCAGCCACTACGCCCAGGCTTGAACGTGGCCTCATGCCCCACCGCTGCCACATCCCCCACCCATCAAACTTCCACTTTAGACAAATCTCTTTTATTTTATTAATTCCTTTTTTTTAAAAAAATAAATTTTACACTAAATTACAAATTTAAAAGTTTATATTTGTTACATCTAACCGACGATGAAGGTCTGGAAAAATTTTAAATATCACATGGATTACTCAATTTTTTATTTTATATCTACTAAATTCATACATTTTTTAATTTTCTACAAAATAAAAATAATAATAATATGCCAAATTTTACTAACAAATCTAACATAACATGAAATTTTTTGTTAGAACTAAGTGACAAAATGCAAAATAAATCACTAATTTAGAATTAGTTCCAAAATAATCTATTTAATACAATAAGCACGAGAGTTAAAAAAAAATATCAATAATCTAGCTTGAAGACTACCCACGCTGTAGCTACTATTTATTCCAATTTACACTTTCTTTTAAGTTTTTGTTCGTGTTCTCTTTCTATTCTAAATTGCAAATGTTGAAACTTATTTGGCACAATCTCCTTAACTATAACTCAGCTTGTTAAAACCCTAACTCTATTCTATCTCGAGTAACTCTATTCTATCTCGATTAATATAGGACATTCATGAATCAATTCAAACACTAAACTTTTCGTGACTTGTTTAGCTTAAAAATAAGAAAAATACAACAGAACCATAAAGCCATGTCTGCTCTTTAAAAAAAGGGGCCAAAAGAATGAGAATATGAAGGAAAAAAGAAGTGGGTATTCCATACCCAATGCCATATCTTTTAAGACACGTTTAGATAGGTAACTAAATGAAAATAGAATGCAGGGTGATGTGACACTCTATAATCTGTCACGATTAGGCAGAGGGAGGGGGAAAAAAATAGAATGCTGGGAGTTTTCAAACACAATTTCACCCATAAATAATAGAGGTTTAATCATTGAAAAAAATGATCCCACTGGGCAGAATTAAAGCCATAAAAAGTGGGATTTTCTTTTTAAAATGTAAATCAGTGTGTATTTTTCAACTAATCAATTACTTTTACAAGTATAACTAGTGACTGAATCAAAAAGAATTAGATTCTTAAATGATCAAATAATTATATCATATCATCCGTAAATATGAGACGCAACTAAAACTTTTAAATCTAGAAGAATTAAGAGAAAGTCATTTCCAACCGACTCTAAAGCTAGACACGATCAACCAATCAAATATCAGAATCTAGCACAATAATTCACTGAACTAACTAAGAGAAATGACAGACAATTAATCTAAAATCTAGAGTGATTTCCAAGCCTATCTGTTTGTAAATTTGTGTTCCCCTAAAAAGGGGCTATGGGGGAGGGCATGGAAGGTAGGAGAGTGGGTGTGCCGGCAAGAGGTAGGGGGAAGGAATCACACCACTAATTGAGCAAACAATGCAACCAAGAGATGAGATAAGAAAAGAAAAAGAAAAGAGGATGCTATTGCATAATGTTTTGTCTTTCAAATATTTTAATTCCGTGCAATGATTATTGGTGGTGGAGGTGGTAATCAAATATATATATATATAAAATAAAGTAAAAGGGGGATGCATGTGCAATGTGGGTCGTTCGTCTAATTGTTTTTTTCAGCCTTCGTTTCGTATTTGTTGGTGTTTTGGAGTTTTCCTACCTTAAGAGATGTAGACAGGTATGCTCCACATTTCCTGCCACTACCAATCTGTCCTCTTCCATGACTACTTCAAGCCTATCATTAACAAGATATTGCCTTTAAGATTTCTAGAAAGCGTATATTTAGGAGAAGTTTCTACACTTTTAGAAAAAATGTTTCGTTCTCATCTCTGATTGATATAGGATCTTACAATCCATTTTCCTTTTGAGGCCCAACATCCTCACTGACACTCGTTTCCTTCTCCCATCGATGTGGACCCCCCAATCCACCCTTTCAGGACCCAGCGTCCTTGCTGTCACACCTCTCAGCGTCGGGCTCTAATACCATTTGTAATAGCTCAAGTCCGAATCTAGCAGATATTATCCTTTTAGAATTTTCACTTTCGGGTTTACTCTCAAAGTTTTTAAAACGTATTTGTTAGGGAGGTTTTCACGCCCTTATAAAGAATGTTTCGTTCTTCCCCCAACTAAAAAATTTCTTTGTGGTCGGGGGCTTTGTGTGTGCATTAGGTAGAATAGAATAGAAACAGCCAAATTTCAGTTGTATTCTTCTGGTCAACTCAATTTGTTGATATTTCTAATTGCTACCCCATCTATCATCATTTCAAAATAATGATAAAAGAATTTGGATCTTTCCTACGTTGGTTGGTTACTGCTGGGATCAAAGAAACTTGGGAACAGAAAGTCCGAGAATAGAAATGTTGGGAATGAGTTGACGGCTTCCAGTGCATACTGGAATGAGTTTCAAATGTTTGGACACTAAGAGGACGTAGAAATAATAAGAAAAGTGTTTATATAATTTGCATTATTCCCAAAGGCTGAACTTGAAATAATTTTTTAATGGGCTTAATTTTTTTAAACACTAGATAATAAAATGAAGAAATTTTCAAAAATCAAAATGATGAATAAAGAGACCTAAATAGTTCTCGAGGTCTCTAAATATGTGATGTCCCACGTTGTGGTTGGGGAGAAGAACAAACTACCATTTCTAAGGGTGTGTAAACCTTCCACTAGCAGACGCATTTTAAATCCTTGAGGGGAAGCCTAAAGGGAAAGTCTAAATATGACAAATATCTGTTAACAGTGGATCTGAACCGTTACAAAATACCTCTACTCACTTGTAAGTGCTAATCTCTGTGGACTCGTACATTGTATACAAAATGCCTCTAAGAGAGAGTAAAAATTAGATCAAATGAGAAAGGAATAATAGGGGTACTGTGTGTTCACGGCCAAGAGTCTCCACAAAATGAAATATTTCACTTGTTCTAAGGATGGGGAAATGAGAAGCCTATAGAAATAAAACTGATACAAAATAAATCAAAGTACCTTGAAAGATGAAGAGGCATTATGGTGTGCCAGAGAGCCTGCCTCCCTTGGTTGAAACACTACAAAAGCAGCAGCGAAAGGCAACATGAAATACATTAATCAGTTACGACCATTCTACATTTGGATGATGAAACAAAGTCCCACATCGGCTAATTTAGGAAATGATCGTGGGTTTATAAGTAAAGGAATACATCTCCATTGGTATAAGGCCTTTTGGAGAAGCCCAAAACAAAGCCATGAGAGCTTATGCTCAATATGAACAATATTATACCATTGTAGAGAGTCGTGATTTCTAACATAGTATTAGAGTTATGCCCTAAACTTAGTCGTGTCAATAGATTGGTAAATCCTCAAATGTCGAACAAAGTACTCCAAAAGAAAAGGAGTCGAGCCTCAATTAAGGGGAGGCGTACTTTGTTCGAGGGGAGGTATTGGATGATGAAAAAAAGTCCCACATCGACTAATTTAGGGAATGATCGTGAGTTTATAAGTAAAGGAATACATCTCCATTGGTATGAGACCTTTTGGAGAATTCCAAAACAAAGCTATGAGAGCTTATGCTCAAAGTGGACAATATCATACCATTGTGGAGAGTCGTGATTTCTAACATCTAGCTTGAGAATAATCAAAGGCGAATCTAAACAAAGTTTTCAGTGTGATGGTTCAATAGTTGTAAAGAAAAGAAACATTGGACAATGAATTGTAAATCAAATACTTATTAAGAATATATCATAGACCTGAATTGCCATAACATGGATAAGAACTTACAAAAAACAAACACCTTCAAATATCACTCTTACAGTCTCGTGTGCAGGGGGGAGTACACCTTCAAATATCACTCTTACAGTCTCATGTGCAGGGGGGAGTACTTAGTGCTATGAATGACCATAAATTTCTCAGTACTTGATGACCCAAGATGTCCAAAGAAGACTGTAGATAAAGGCAGGTAGAACCTGATGAGGAGGTCCATTAAATAACTTTGTTCAATCAGTTTAAGCAAAATCGAAAAAATATTGAAAATTCTTCAACAAACCAACTTAAATCCTGTAAAGGAAGATAACAGATTCTATAGGATGGAAATCTTATCTATTCCAGTATGAGAACTTTCTGCTAATCCTTAATTCAATCAGTTATTCCAAGTGCCAGAAGGCAGCCACGGGAACAAATATAGTTTCATACAGTCAAAGAGTTACTTTTCAATAACATTCATACTGCTTAATTGGTAACTATTGAAATGAGCTCAGATACAACCAACCTAGATTATCATAGTAACGAGTGTGAAAAACTCAGATCTGTCCAGACAAATGGACTTGAGGTGGGGTTTTTTCTTTTTTTCTTTTTTTTTTATTCAAATGAATTAGAACCTTTTGGATATAGATATTGTGAGATCTCACCTCGATTGGAGAGGGGAACGAATGCTAGCAAGGACGCTGGACTTTGGAGGGGGTGGATTGTGAGATCTCACATTGGTTGGAGAGATGAACGAAACATTCTTTATGGAAACCTCTCCCTGGCAGACGCGTTTTAAAAATCTTGAGGGGAAGCTTGAAAGGGAAAGTTCAAAGAGGACAATATCTGCTAGCGGTGGGCTTGAGCTGTTACAAATGATATCAAAGCTAGACACCGGGCAATGTGTCAGCGAGGCCGTTGAGTCCCGAAAGGGGGTGGACACTGGACGGTGTGCCAGTGAGGACATTGAGCCCCGAAGGATAGTGGATTGTGAGATCACACATCGATTGGAGAGAGGAACAAGTAACAGCGAGGACACTGGGCCCAAAGGGGGT